ATCAAAAGTTGTGCACAACATTCAACATATTTGGTTTTGTGTAATTTCTCTCCACCAGAAAAAATCTACTGTGCGCTCCACTGAGCGCACTAAATTTAGTTGGAAACATCACAGACGTTTGCCAAGTGAAAGTATTTCTGGGAAATTAGCCCTTAAAATTCACTAGAACTCCAACCAGAACTCACAACCATGTGGGTTTCTCTTTTGATGTCTTTGGTGCTGTTGTAGTGACAACAGACTGAAAGAAAAATCTCTGAGCCATGAAGGTAAGTTCAGGTTATGGAACATGTGTCAGACAGATTTTTGACAGGTTTTAGATTAATTTTGAATTCATTTTTAGTTTTATACTGGTTTTATATTGGTTTTGAACTTGTGTTTTTAGTGATTTTTGTCTGGTCTTACTGGTTCTGGACACAGTTTTATACTGGTTTTGAGCAGAATTTTAGGCTGATTTTAAAGTTAAGTTAGTTAAGACTGGCTTTTGACTTGTTTTTTGACTGGAATTGGATTTAGTTTTTCACTGCTTTTGGTCTGTTTGGACTGTTTTTGACTATATTTAAGTTTGGTTTTGGACTTGATTTTTGATTCTTTCTGGACTGTTTCTACACTAGTTTTGGTCTGGTGTTTGACTGATTGCGGAATATTTTTAGACTAGGTTTTGACTGATTTTGGTCTGGTTTTAGACTAGTTTAATCTGTTTAATGACTGGTTTGGACATTATTTTAGACTGAATCATGGGAAATCAGCCCTGTAATTCAGTGCACATCTGAACCATGTGGTTTGGCTCTTTCGTCTTTTCGATTGTTCAGGGCTTAGTCAGTTTAGGCAGAATGTTTTCTTCAGAATTTCCTTAGAAGTCTTGGCAGTTCTTTGTTTTCCTCCTTCCTCTCAGTGATGACTTCAGCTGTTACTGAAAAACCCTACATTGAGTCTCCAGGGGTGAAGTAATTCCTTCTAGCACTAAGCCCACCCTCCACTCTGACACACGCTTTGTTTCTGCCAAGTGTGTACAGGCAGAGCAGAAACATCTGTTTTCAGCCTTTGTGGCTGAATAACAGTAGTTTGCTAGCTTCTTCAGAATTATACTTCTTCAGAACTTTTTATTGTTCCAGTGGTTAACTCTCTGCAAGGTGGTGCAGTTGGTTAGCACTGTTGCCTCGCAGCAAGAAGGTCGCCGATTCGCATCCCGGTGGGGGCACTGGGATCTTTCTGCGTGGAGTTTGCATGTTCTCCCCGTGCTCCCACAATCCCAAAAACATGTTGAGGTTAACTGGTGATTCTAAATTGTCTGTAGGTGTGAATGTGAGTGTGCTTGGCTGTCTGTCTCTAAGTGTAGCCCTGTGATAGACTGGGGACCTGTCCAGGGTGTCCTGCCTTCACCCTGAGTCAGCTGGGATAGACTCCAGCCCCCCGCTACCCTAGTGAGGATTAAGCGGTGTATAGATAATGGATGGATGGATGGTTAACTTCTTTACGCCACAAATTGTAAAAAATGAAAGTTTTGTTCCACTCTAACTCTCACATTCACTGATTTCCTCAAACTTTAAAAAGTACAACCTAATCAAATGCATAGCTGGAAGAACAAAAAGTCAAATTTACTGATTTAGATAAAAACCTTCTAAGTTGCAAAAATTATTTTGACGAGTTATGTTGACATGATACTGATGTATTAACTTAATATTGTGTGTAATTTCAACTCAACTGTTCGCGTTAGTTAATTTAAAAGTAAATTCAAGTTGAAATATCTTCATTAAATTGGCTTTGTCGCCTACATTTTCTTCGCCTTGAGTTCTGGAGTTCAGGATCCCCTTTCGCTGCCTACTGTACATGCTCGAACAATTTCAGACAGTAATGAATCACTGAATATTTTCTTTTGTGATCCGACCAACAGTGGACTCATGTACAGAGTTTATTCTACAGCTTCTGATACAGTTGCTGAAATATGTTGTTCTGCTGCACGTAGCTAATGCAAGTCAAAACGATGTCCATCAGCCCTTCAGTTTAGCAAACTGTAGTGTAAGATCAAAAAGTTCCATTTGACAAATCTACTGAGCTACAGAGGACGTGTTTATACATTTTAGAGGAAATTAAAAATGTGTTGTTTTTGCCTTCAAGATCTAAACATCAGGTGCAGACATACATACTGCAGCTTAACGAAATGTTAATTAGCAATTAATTAATTTCCTTAAAACTACTACATAAATGACAAAAGAAAATTGTACTGGAGAAACCTAATTTACTAAATGTTTGATACGGTACCTTAAAAATCCTTTTGACTAACGTAAAAACTTGTTGGTATGACTTAATTATCACCTTTAGAAATTTGTGTTTAAGCTACCAAATTTTCAAACCAGGGGAGTATTTTTGGCCCCAGAAAGTTTCTGTAAG